GAAATTATGTTGTAAAATTTAATTTTTCAAGTGTTAAAAGTTAGGAGAAATGAAAAATGTAAACAAATGCAATAGTAAACTATCCTAACAAATGCAATAATGAAAGAAAGTAAATGAAAGCATTAAAAGAAAACAATAATCCTAAACTAATGAAGCATGTAAACAAAGAATTAAGTGCAAAAAAGTAAATCAAAGTTGCAAATTGAAAGCTATAGGAGAGCAAATGAAAATATGTAAATCTAATTCTATGAAAGCAATTAAAGTTGAAAATAGTAAAAGTAACATTGAACTTGAAAATAGCAACAAAAAATAGATTTGGAACAAAAAAAGTAAAGTAAATTGGATTAACAATTATGTCAACTAATGGTTGATTCTCCAATCATCAACTTGTTCATATGATTGTCATTGATTTCTAGACCTAATTGTAATCACAAAATAGATCCATAACAATTCTAAACATTTACAATCCAATTGAATAAAAGACATAACTCAATTTCCAAATCAAACAATCTCTTGAACCTATAAATTGATTTGTGACACAACTCCATGATTGTAATGGATTATAAACATTTAGAATTATGAAAAATAAAATTAAATCATAGAGATAAAGTTTTAATAAATGAATTAATCTCTAAAATGAATTAGAATATCATTGCATAATGTAAACCAGTAAAAATGGGTAAATTTTGCTAAAAATAGTAAAAGAAGAAGAAAAATACAAAAATTAAATGGGAAAGATAGAGAAGAGGAAAGAAATATGTATAAAACATCTTCAAGTGATAATTGAAGGAAGAATACACATACAAGACCAAAAGAATTTGGAATTGAAAAGCTACTCTAAGAACAAGTATAGGAAAAGAGAGAAAACTATAGAGACTTTCCGATACTAGATCTAGAAAATTTAAAAATAAAAGATAACTTATGTATTTGACTTTCTCATACCTTTTTAAACAACAACAAATGCAATTGAATCGCACAAGGCCCATACAAAACTTAAAATAAATCAATTACATCAATTAAAACTTGAATCACAATTTTGCAAAATGGTTTGATAAAGTCACTCAGAGATTTCTTCACTCACTTAGAGGAATTCGATAATGAAGTTAGTTGGTTAGGATCGACACATTCACTTAATGGATTACTCCTTCACTAATTGAAATTGAAAAATTTGGAATGAGTTCTTTAACAATAATTCGCTGAGCAAAATTCCTTTACATTGAACGAAATTCCTCTATGTTAAGCGAATCTATAGTAATTTAACTTCTTCTTTAATTTAGCATGCTCGTATAAATGTAGAATTACTTAGTTAAAATGTACAAATTAAATAATAAATTAGATACATAACTATTTATTCTAATTTTATCAAAACTATGTGAAAAATAATTAATTAAATAATATAATTATATACAAAATATATTAATAAAAATTTTGATAAAATGTATTTATCACAATGAAAACTACCGAGACAAATGACTTGGCACCATGAAAATAATAGTTTTGGTGTGTTACATAATCCATCAGATGGAAAACCATAAAATTACTTTGATCAGAAACATCCTAGTTTTGTTGCTTATCCACACAATGTCTGTAGACCCCAAATCTTGCCCAGCCTCACAATAAAGAGCAGAAGACTTTCGTTCAAAGATGGACAAGGCTGTTAAACATACAAGGATATGAAGTTTGAAGATTTTGATGATGATTCAAGAATAAAGGACTTAAAGACTTGAAGACTTAGAATCATGTGTATTTAATTGTAATAACTCTGTTTTATGTTTTTGAGTCTGTATAATTAGAGTACAAGATAGCCAACTATCGCCGTCGTCAAAAGAGGCGGTCGGAGCGACGCGATGGTTTTGTTTGACTCACGTTTTTAAAAGTGTGGTTCAACGCCTTTAGGTTGTCCGATAACCGAGCTGGACCTAAGGGCGGGGTTTTTTAAAAGGGTTTTATGGAGTCACCACCTGGTTTTGTTTGACTTGCATTTTTAAAAGTGTGGTTCAACGCCCTTAGGTTGTCTGATAACCGGGCTGGACCTAAGGGTGAGGTTTTTTAAAAGGGTTTTATGGAGTCGCCACCGATGTTTTTACCAAAAACATCGAAAAAGGAAAAAAAGAAGGCATTGGTTTAGAAAAACCAACTTTGGCCATTACAACCAGAGTCGGGTAAGGGAGTTAGTTATGTGTGGGGAAGGTATTAGCACCCCCACGACGCCCCTTTCGGGTTCCCTATGATGGACTATTCTTAAAATAAAGACAATAAAATTATGCTTCTACCCTATTTATTTATTACAGAATTTAAGTAGCTATCTACATGATTCTAATATCTAATGCATACAAGGGAAACAGTAAAAGAAAGCAATAAAAGAGAAGAAATATGAAGGAGAACCTCCGAAGTGAGCTTCAATAAATATTGAACTTGAGGACGCTTTTTGACAGTCCCTGCACTCTACAGAGACACTCCTCCCTCGATCAAAAAATAAAGGTGTCACCCTACTGAGGGCCGAATGTCTCAAAAAAAGGAGACATCCTTAACCGATTTCTACCTTAACGGAAATCGGAAAGCTCACTCGAACTTTGAAAAAATGCTCAGAGTCACTCTAAAGTGCCAAAAGGCTTCCTAGAGAGTGGTAGGAGTGAATGGTGTGTGAAAATAGGTGGAATGAGGCTCCTATTTCTAAGAAAAAGTGCTAGGCAGGTCGGGATGGCCATCTGGGATTTGTCATTCGGGAAGGCCTTCTCGCCCTCGCCATTTGGGAAGGCCTTCTCGCCATTCGGGAAGGCCTTCTCGTCCTCACCATTTGGAAAGGCCTTCCCGCCAGAATGTTCTTATCATTAGAAATTTGCATCCGTCAGACCGAGAAGGTTGTCTCATCTGGCAAGGTCAAGACAGCGGTCTCGCCATTCGGGACTGCCGTCTAGCCAAACGATACGGCGGTCTCACTTTTGGTAAATGGTGAGACGGCGGTATCGCCAAGCGAGACGGCGGTCTCGTTTTGGCGAATGGCGAGATAGTGCTCTCGCCAAATGAGACGGTGGTCTCGGCAAACGAGACGGTTGTCTCGGCCTTTCGGGTAGAATTTCTTTATTTTTTCTATACAAAATCCTTCCTATTCTAATATGGGGCATATTGATCTATCCTAAGGACCTTTTAGGCCTTACCCATCTTCGAACGGAAGTCTTCTGCTCTTTATTTTGAGGTCGGGAAAGATTTGGAGTCTACAACTGCCCCCCCTTCACCTGACTAGCCGACTGTTGGCTCGACATGCCAAAAACATCGACTGAAGGGTGAAGGAGTTAACCCTCTTTCCCGGCTGTCTTTCGGATGCTCCTTCTTACGGTAGCCGACCCCTTAGCTGACAAGTGGTAGAACCTTAGGATGTTCCTTGTCGCCGTCGTCAAAACGAGGCGGTCGGAGCGACGCGATGGTTCCGAATTTCCAATTTTCGCGTTTTTATTGGTGTGGTTACAACGCCTTTAGGTTGTCCGATAACCGGGCTGAACCTAGGGGCGAGGTTTTCGAAAAGGCGCTCTTGGATTGTCCGATAACCGGGCAAACCCAAGAACTAATTTTGAAGGGTTCTTCTGGAGTCGCCACCGATGTTTTTACCGGAAACATCAGAAAAGGGGTGAAAAGGCGTTGGTTTTCGAAAAACCAACTTTGGTCATTAGAACCAGAGTTGGGTAAGGGAGTTAGTTATGTGTAAGGGAAGTGTTAGTTCCCTTACGACGCCCCTTTCGGGTTCCCTATGATAGGCCAACTATTTTAAATAAGTAAACCGGTGAAAATACGCTTTTACCCTTTATTTCGCCAAACGAAACGGCGGTCTCGCCACTTTCGCAAGGCGAGACGGCGGTCCCGAATACGAGACGGCGGTCTCGACCAAAAAAGGTGAGAATCCTTATTTACATGCCGAAAATCCCTCCTATCCTAGTATGGGGCCTAATAGTCTCTCCTAGTGGCTTCTTAGGCTTCATCCATCTTCGAATAGAAGGTCTTCTTGTCTTTATTATGAGGCGGGGCAAGATTTGGGGTCTACATTCCTTCTTGCGGTAGCCGACCCCTCGGTTGATGAGTATGAACCCCCATCCGGTTGGTAGAGTCCACTATTGTGGGACTGGATGAGTATAAACCCCTCATCTGGCTGGTAGTGTTTGCAGTCCACCATTATAGGAATGGATGAGTATAAACCCCTCATCTGGCTGGTATGGTCCACTCTGTAGGACAGGTTGCGACTTACTACTCTGGCTCATGCGCAGGTTTTGCCTACGTGCAGGTCTTTGTCTTCGGGACCTTCCTTGTCCCGAAGTGGTGGTGGCGACTTACTGCTCTACCTCATGCGCTGATTCCATGGGGAGTGTTTCTGTTTTGGTAAATGTTTTTGACTTTTTCTGGTAAAGTCTTCCAGTGCGCTGGGGATTCTTTATTTTTTGTCTTTTTCCATAGCCATCCGACTTGCTGCTTGTCAGGGATTCTTGGTGAATTCCTCTTAGGTAGGCAGGAATCCATTGAGGATTTGTTGGTGGGGCCTCTAATTAGGCACATATCCCATTCTAGGGATATTGGCTCTTTATTTGCCAGATCTTGCCTATGCATAGGCGAATGACCCTTCTAGGGGTGTGAGTCTGAAATTTGCCTTTGTCGTAGGCTCACTGAGGATGATTTTTCTCTTTTTGATGATCCACTGGGGATTGACTGCCTTCCCGGGGATCTGATTTTGGTTTGCCCCTTGGAGTTTTTGACTCCTTGTTAGGTACTGGTGTGAGTTGGTTCTGCGATGCTCTTATTTCATTGGAGAATGGGCATTTTGTTTGCCTAAAAGTTAGGATTTTAATTTCACCTTTTTTCACGATTTATCTCTTTTTTATCGCGATTTTGAAATCTGGCTTTTTTTATGGGGATAATGTGTGCACCTTTTTACTTTTTACTTTCTTTTATACATGTAGACCCAAAATTTTGCCCGGCTCCCTAATAAAGCCAAATATAACCCATTTCGAAGATGATCAAGACTTTATTAAGTCCCTAGGAACTTTTTCTAGGTTCCATTTCAGATAGGAAGGGGTTTTAGAGGCAATAAAAATCGGAAAATCCGCCGGAGATAATAGATGATCGTCCAGGACAGTCAGACGGCCGTCCATGCAAACTTTAAGGCTATGGACGGCCGTCCACTTAGCTTGGATTGCCGTCCATGGAAACTTTTGGCCATGGACGGCCGTCCATGGCAACTTTTTTCCATGGACGGTCGTCCACTTTTTCCTAGTCCAGTTCCCTATAAATAGAGCCTCATTTCTCACTTTTCCACACACCTTTCCACTCCTACACTCTCTAGGAAGCCTTTTAGCACTTTAGAGTGACTCTGAGCATTATTCAAGGGTTCGAGTGAGCTTTTCGATTTCCGTTTAAGGTAGAAATCGGTTAAGGAAGTCTCCTTTTGAGACGTTCGGCCCTCGGTAGGGTGGTACTCTTATTTTTTGTTCGAGGGAGGAGTGACTCTATAGAGTGCGGGAACTGCCAAAAAGCGTCCTCATGTTCGAGATTTATAAAAGCTCGCTTCGAAGGTTCTCCTTCATATCTCTTCTCTTTAATTGCTTTCTTTATCGCTTTCTCTGTGTGCATTAGATGATCGGGTCATGTAGATATTTAAATTTTGCAAGTAGATAGAATAATAGGGTAAAAGCATAATTTCTTTAAGTGTTTATTTTCTAAACTAGTCCATCATAGGGAACCCGAAAGGGACATTGTGGGGTGTTAATACCTTCCCCACACGTAACTAACTCCCTTACCCGACTCTGGTTGTAATGGCCAAAGTTGGTTTTTTCTAAAACCATTGCCTTCTTCTTTTTCTTTACCTTTTTCAGTGTTTAACTCCTCGAACCTTTTTGAAAACCTCGCCTTTAGGTCCAGCCCAGTTATCAGACAGCCTAAAGGCGTTGAACCATTTCTTTCAAAAAACGTGAGTCATTTCAAAACCATCGCGTCGCTCCGACCGCCTCTTTTGACGGTGGCGACAGATGGTGACTCTACTGGGGAAGCTAGAGAGTTGATCCCATTTAGTGATGGACTAGTTTAAGAAATAAAAACTAGAAATTATGCTTTTACCCCTCCTTGCTTTTATAGCATGTTTTATTCCATGGCTTTAATAATTGTTGTATGCTTATTTTCTGCAATTGTCTGAAATGAACTGTAAACAAACCCTTGCACACAACAGTCCCTCTATACCCGGGGGCAAGAGAGAATACACATAGGGAGTGGGTGGCAGGTACGACCGACCATGGTAATGGCCTTAGTGCCAGCAAGTCGTTGTCGGAAACCACCACTCAAAGTGATAACCTTCTTCTTTTGGTCTAGGAACATCGACACGGAGATTTGTGCATGGTTCAAAAACTGAGACATTGAAGGGTCCCTATAGTGCGGGCACCTTGGGGGCCTGGCCTTGGTGAGAACAGTCAAGAACCTACCTTTGCCAATGCACTTTTCTGCAGGAAACCCCTACCTCGTAATTAAACGTCACTTTATTCACGGATGAGTGAATTGTTTGTGTATTTGTTTGTTGCATTTGATTGTTGCATAACATAATCATACAATAGCAAAAAAAATATAATAATAAAACAAAATCTCAAAAATCTTTCACAATAAACACCCTTATCTCGGACAGTCTGCCTTTTAGCTATCCTGGTTTCAGGTTCTTTGTAAGCTAAGTAGCCACGCAGTCCGACAGAAGAGATAAGGGATTCTAAAACCATTCTTTCGCAATAAACCAACTTTATCTCGGGCAGTCTGCATTTTAGCTAGCTTGGTTTCAGGTTCTTTGTAAGCTAAGTAGTCACGCAGTCCGACAGAAGAGATAAAGGGGTAATAAAACAAATAAAAAAGTAAAATGAAACTCATAGCATTCAATTAGAAATAACATAAAAAGAATTTTTACAAAGTCGTATCATTCATACCTACATCATCTCATAAGTGGAAAAAACCAAGAGAGGAAATAAATGCAATACGCATACACATCATCTAAATCTCTCAAAAAATGGGTCTTAGGAGCGTGTTTTGGAAAATTGTTGGGCCAAATCCCCTGTGTGAATTTGCGGCGTGTTCTTCACATTTTCCTCTTCATTTTGATATGTTGTGCGTCCAAATCGGACATCTCAGTCAAAAGTTAGGTCACTTTGAATATTATTCACCTTTTTTCATCATAAAAGGTCCTTTTTGTACTAGCACATGCATAAATACATACACTAGATATCTTAAGACAAGGGCAAAAGAGACCCAAGTGTGTTTGTGACCTTCGCGACAAGGAAGGGACAAGTGTACTAAGGTGTGATGGTGACCCCCATTATACTTGTCAAATGTGATGGGGAAGGAACCATTACATCGAGGTGGGTATGATACCCCACAAAGCGTAAGCTTTAAGGAGGATACGTAAGTCATTATCTTGAGGCATATCCATCCCATAAATCATTCATTTTAAACAATAAAATTCTTTTTTCATTCTAGAAAGCGGCTGGTATTCTTCATGCCCTCATCCGCATACAAAAAAACAAACAAACACAAAATCCCAAACACTATCATACATCATGTTAGAAAATAAAACATGATAATGTTTAGGAAAAAACAAACACTTGCATACATGCATCCACCAAACTTGATCCTCATAACATGCATCTAATAATAGACAGTTGAAGAAAGTGGACATTCCTCAATACCGTGAAAAGAGGTTAGGGCATTCGCATGCCATGCACGGGAAGTAAAAAAGAAAATAAATAGAAATTCTAACCCGCCTATGGGTTCATTTAGGCTTCTCCGCTTTTTTAAAAAAAATGTAATTCGAAACATTGCATTGAGGAATGTACATTGTCTGGATGAAATAAATAAAATTGTTTGTTTTCATCATCTCTTCAACCGTGTATTGCATTCATTATCACTTTAATAATAATAAGATAATAAAAAGAAAGGATTAATTGATGTACTTCTCATGAATCGGAATAAGATGAAGAGTAAACCTTTCATTGTCAAGTTCTCTCCAACGGTTGATCCGCCTAAGAAGGATAATAAGCCTCAACCGTTGGGTATCCAAGTTAATAAGGAAGAGGGAGCAAGGATGTCGTTACATTTGTTCACCCCATATAGTTGTACCGTGGAGATATGCAGAAACATCACCCATCATTGAAGATATCTCCAGCATAGCCGGCATTGGGGCCAGAATTAGAAGTGGAAGAATTTATTCCCCCAAGGAGCTATAAGATGATGCTCCTACAAATAAAGGAAAAAATAAAAAGACCGAAGAAAGACATAATCCAAAGAGGAAATTGAGTAGACTTTGGATTCACGAAGCTAAGGTAGTTCTTTCAATGCTCCACCAAAAAGACAAATTCACGGTAGGCGACAAGCTGGTCACGATTCAAGCTAAAGACGGCATTCGGATCAGCAAGTCATTTGCCCTACCTTGTATGGATGCGCCTGAAGAGGACCTTTGAAATATCTTTTTCCAATATGAAAAGACTTCCCCAACAATATGAAGGTGACCCACATGATGAGGAAATATGGATACTGCCAAACCAAGGGCCCATTAGAAACTCTCAAGGAATAAGGGAGCCACCAGATTTTAAAGACAATCAGCATGACCCTACAAAGGATCAAGTTGCACGGAGAAAAGGGAAGTCTCCCCTCTGCACCTCGAATCAGATTTTCCCAAATGGAGGGGTCCAAGCGTCGAGAGCGACTTTAGCCATTAGGTGTTCTCCTTCCAATTTTAAGGGGTTATAAATCCAATTACTATTAAAAATTACTCCTCGGGGCTAGCCCGACCCCCGATCATTGTAGGGCACATATTTCCCTATTAATTACAAAGAATGTCATTCTTACTATCTGTTTCTCTTCTTGCTAATTATGTCTAAACCTCATTAATAATCATGTTTAAGCAAACATTTTCAAAATGCGTCAAAGTAATCAAATTGTGTCATTGACCAAAATAAAAGTCAAATCCATCACCACTGATTGACTAGAAACACAAATAAGGTTTTACCTCTTCAATAAAGCTGTGTTTCACCAATGTTGTGCAAAAAAAAAATCAAAAGAAGCCCATAGAAGCCAAAGGCCAAAAAGAGAGGGCAAGATACCCGGTAGGAAACCTATTAAGGGGGGCTACGCAAAAGCTAGGGTAAACCGGCTAGGAAACCCGAACAACAATAAAGGGTAGCCTAGGCAAAAGTTAGGGTTACAAAATAAAGTCCGCTAGGATTCCCAAAACAAGAAAAGAGGAAACCTAGACAAAAGTTAGGACCAAGACAAAGGTACAACATCCTAGGTTGAAAACCCGAATGGCAGTCTAGGGAAGTCAATTAGTTGTGATAGGCGCCACAAAACAATTAGTTAAGACGCAACTTCATAAACGAAACGTTTGTTTAAAACTATCCTAAATAGTCTGACCAACCTTGGCTAGCCATTCTTACAAAAACCTTTTTTTGAAAATAAAAACCCTCTAAAACACAAGCTATTGAATTAAATCCCTTTTCTTTCTATTCTCTTGACCCTTATTACAACATTCTAGTAATTAATTGGGAAATATGGAGATATAGTGATCAATAAGAGGATTGAAATCCCTGAGAAAAGGAAGGAGTGCACTGACATGGCAGTCACTCTACAATCAACAACATTCATTCTTCGGTCATGGCAAATCCGAGACAGCAAAACCGGTACAGCTAGGTGTGACATCGTAAGCACATCAGAAGCAAAAGCACATCGGTTAAGCCTTTTGAAATATTAACTGAATTAGCATTATAGGATGCATATCACAAACATTTCATGCATGATAGGGTCCCATCTCTCAAAAAAAAAGGAGGAAGAAAAAACGAAAATAAAAAGAATAATGTCTGCTAGGAGATTCTTAGGCAAAAGTTAGGGTAGCCCGCTAGATCGAAAACCCGCAAAGGGAGGTCTAGGCAAAAGTTAGGACATTCACAAAAAAAGGAACAAGTCAGCTAGGATATCCTAGGCAAAAATTAAGGCAGCCCGCTAGATCGAAAACCCCAAAAGGGCGGTCTAGGAAAAAGTTAGGGCTTAACCAAAAAAATAAATCAAAAAGGAGTCCATCAGCATAATCATGAAAGTACATCGGGAGAGTACCAGTCACTTTTCTAAGATGCATCTCATAAAAGGATAGATTGCATTTAGGACATCCACACACAAATAGTCGCACAAAATGACTGTGTCAAAATCGAAAATATTTTTTTTTGCAAATTAATAGCAAAAACGATAATCATGTGTAAGGAGACTAGCTCCATGTTTGTGATTGAAAAACAAGATCGTTAGGACCAAGCCTCCAAATAATGCTCTCCCTCAAGAAAACAGTGCAAGTTGCCACCAATAAGCCAGCAACTCCAGAGCAAAATAAAAGCTTCCAAAAACCAGAGCTCCAGCTACCATCCTTCTACCCAAAAAAAAAAGGAAGAAGGCACAAAAAAGAAGTCTCCAAACTTTGCTCTCCCTCAAGAAAGAAGAGCGAGTTTTCGTCATCAAATAACTCAGAGGAAATAAGAGCCTCCCAAATCAAAAGCCCCAACCATTCTCCTTCTACCCCAATAAAGAGAAGGTACGTCAAAGAAAAGCTGACGGAAAGGCTC